TCTAATATTAACATGTGATAAATTAAGTCAATGTAATTTTTAACGTAAAATTATAATATAGTAATATCATCTTAATGAATTGAATAGATTTTATGTAATTTTATTTTATTATTTGTCATTTCAATTTGTTAGAGTTAGTGTGAGATGAAATTAAGCTCGTGGGCGTAATCTAAAATTGGTGGTGGTGTTTTGAAGTGCAAAGGGGGCAGAGTAATGGCTTATTTGAATAACTTTATTTAAAATTTAATAGTATCGAGAAATTAGCAAAAATTTATGCACCTAATTGAGATGATATTACAATGTTCTAATTCTAATTAATTCTTTACATTAAATTCTATATTGATTTCATATATTATAAGTTAGTATTGGATACGTTAAATCACACGTACTTTGTAATCAACGCATTGCGGAAAGTAGAATGATATGTAAAGGGAAAGGAAGAAATACCTCTTTTCACTAAACTTGTAACGGCATTCGACTCAACTAAATCTCATAGGTTAACACACAATAATTATAACTTAAAATACCATCCCAGTGAATCCATTATGTACAGTGTTAATCCTATTAAAAAATGCTTTATTGGGTGCATGACAATATAATCATATTTATATTAAATGGTAACCAGGCCAGAATGAGTGATCACCCTATTAAATCCTTAATCAGGATTACTAGCCATCAGCCCAGTGTATATAATCTTTTACCAGTTACCTTTACTATTTCAATCTATAGTTTCACTTTTTGGCAAGTCTCACCCAAAGTGTATGTTACGTTTCTCATTCATTCGTTTGCTTTATATTAATGATTAGTATTATTTTTATAAGGAATTTGAACCCTCAATACAAGAATAGACATTCCAAGGTTCTAATAAAACTTGTAAAACAGTGCAAGAATCAAATACTCGATAATCGACCATCATGTTCGGAAATACTACAGCACAAAGACAAATGGGCATTAGTATATAAAAATGTTAAATTGGATATCGATACAAGTGTTGTTTCAAACATTAATTACGATTATGAGAAGCAAATTGTTCAATATTTTTTAACAGCAAAACGCAATTTTAATGAGTGCAATGTAAAATCCGCAAATAAAAGCCAAATTAAACTAGTCAGAATTTGAACCGCGAGTCTTTCAAACAGGAAAATTTAATCGGGATTTTAATCCTGGTAGGATTATATCCAAATCTAATGATGATGGCAAAATAATAGAAACTACAGCCAAATACAGTAACTCGTTATATGCGATTAAAACAATAAAACAAAACAGTAAATTAGATACTTATAAAATTTATATTTAAATATATTAATTAATATAATTAATTAATCCAGATGAGCATGTGTTAAAGAAGGCGATTACATCTTTGGCAATATGGTCAAATTTAAATGATGATTGTTTTGTGAGATCTCCTGATCACTGGGTAGAATTCATTCGTTTACCATATGTCCATTATGCATTTCTTTTCATTCAAATGGAATTGTGCTGGTTTTCATTGGGAGAAGTAATAGAACAAATGGTCATCTATTTTACTACAACGCGTTATGAGTTTCTTAACCCTTTAGGCTATTTTATGGCATCCGAGTTAATGTTGGAGATAGTGGAGGCGGTCAACATTTTGCATATTAGAAATCCGCCAATCATTCACAGCAATATTAACCTCAACAATATTTTAATTGCACCGTATGCAAATACTAAATTTATAAAAATATCAGATTTTGGCCAGGCAGTTTTTCATAATACTACAACAATGTCACATAGCCTAATTAAAGTAAATGAACGATTCATGTCTCGCGAAATGAAAAGCGGTCGCAAGTTTACCATGAAGGCTGATATATACAGTCTCGGAATCGTTGGCCAGGAATTGTTTAATTTTGATTTAACTACAATAGGGTAATTATTTTATGAATTAAAATATATTTATCAAACTTATAAAACGATTATCAATGTGTATACAATATTGGTATATAATCAATTATTTCATAAAGATTTACAAATTATAACACATTTAATATTTTACCAAATAGAGAACTACCACATGGCCACCCATATAACATGATTAAATCAGTGATTAGTGAATGCATTAACGATAATGCCGATGCTAGAAGGACATGCACATATATACTGTCGCTGAGCAAATCGGACAGTCAAACACTCGGTTGGGCCAATCGTTTTGCAGACGTCGAGCGCATAATATCAGAAATGCCAGCCATTAATCATCCTTATAATGAGCGTGATCATTTTATATATCACTTTTTATTAAATAAATATAAGCAATATTCCGTTAAATAACTTGGCATTGCATTTATTTTGCAATTACAGTTCAACTTCTCATTATATACAGATTTAATACAAGTTCATAGAATTAGAATTAGTATTGATGAATACTATAGACTAGATCAGGAGTGATCAAATAGGCTTAAAAGCTAGACTGGCAACACTATGCTCCATAAAAAATACATTAGAGCAATGCTCGCTAATGCTCAATTATGCTCGCTTTGCTCTTCTATGGACTAGATTGCTATTGCCATAGATTTAGCATAGGCCACAAATCTAAGTATTAGCATTAGTCTATAGATTTAACGTTACCCGTAGACTTAGCATTGCCCATAGGATTAGCATTAGTCTTATTTATTTAACATTACCCATAGACTTACTATTGCCTATATTAAACCTATGTCATAGACTTAAGCTGTGATCCCATAGAGACCCATTGAAAATTTTCCCCATAGGCTTAACATTTTTATAAATTTAGTGTTATCCATGTTAAACTTATATCATATACATAACATTAGTCTCATAGGAGTAACATTTTCCATAGTATAGCCATAGACTTAAACTGGAATTTTATGCTAAATCCCATAATGTAAGATGAGTGGAATGCCGAACGATCCATTGTATTATAATGTGAGCAGGCAATGTATTTTCTATGGCTATAATATCTGGTCTACTGAGATACTATTATCATAATTATAATATATTGAAATCGTACGGCATTTTTAAAAAATACATATTTATATTGATAAAATTTTAAATATTAATGAACCACATTGATGTTAAATGTGATATTAATTTATCTAATTAATTTATATAATTTTATTTCATTTAGGTTTGTATTGGTTATTTTATGATAAGATATTGTTAATCGCCTAACAATTCATTTATTTGTTTTAATTGTATTTCAATTTTATATTTTCAGTATATTTATGTTTAAACAATTCAGGGCAATAAACTTAAGAAAATTAAGTAGATTGTAAATATTAATCACTTCAAATAAGTTAATACAACTAAATGTTATTGTCTTGACAACAATCACAATTAATTATCTGATCTAAGTTACTTAATATTATACAGTTGTATGATAAAATAGTAAAAGTTTTATAATCGCTTATATAAAAGTATGTAATTTTATTGTGTTTCAATACTATAAACATTAATTTTTATATAAAATTATACATATTGCTTATGTTAATGTGAACAATAGGTAACTATTTAAAACGTATTGTTATTGAAATTTAAGCTATAATCATTTTTAATTTATTTGTAATTGAAACATATATGTCTACGTGTTACATCAAACATATAGGTGAGGTACGATTTATTGTTTTAATTAAATAAATATGTTGTTGTTTAAATGCCAATACTAGTAACGTAAACACATCTATAAAAACTACAAATAATTTATTAGAAAACATGTTTATCACGTAGTGTTAATTAATGTTAAAATGCCCTTACTCAAATGGTCTTATATTATAATGAAAATTATATTGAATATATTGTAATTAATTATTGTTTTAATATTATTGTTAATTATAATATTATTATGCAATTAAACCTTTTCTTTCAAAAAATATTAAATTGAATTAGTAAGTAGTATTAATAGTTATAATATTTAATAAAATGGCTGCCAATAAAACTATTATATTATTACGTAAGTAAGTTGTGAGCTTAGTAAATTGTATATGTTTACTTAAACAAAATGCACATTATTTGATATATCGCGTAGATTTTAAAACTAAATTTTATTTTTGATATTTATAACAAAACATGCTAAATATAAATTATTAAAATAATGATAAAAATATTATAATATGTATTGCATGTTAATGTAAATATGAACATTCTAATTCTATAACGATAAAAGTGTATAATTTTACACATTATTATTTGCTTAAATTATAAAGTTTTTTATCATGATAATTACGGTATACTTTATTAACAGTGTAAAAACAGGATTAGCCATAGATTTAACATTACCCATAAGATTAGCATTGCCCAAGTTAAAAAATAATAAGATTGGGATTCTATTTTAAATTTTATAAAACGGGAATCAGACTGAAACGTAGCGATTTAATAAACTACAATATTTATTTATTATAAAATACCCTCATCATAATCTTAATCTCATTAATTTGTTCAGTTATAAAGATTGATTCTTGATAAGCTACATATTCTTACTTACACATTCTTGCTCCATAACGGCGCCATGCCACATATAAAATGCGACTAGAGGATGTTGCTAATATGACGTGGTTATTGAATCATAAAGGCGTTTTTGAAACTATAAGTTTATAGTAGATTATACTCTATGTCACTAACATATGAATAATGTACAAATTACAACACAAGGGTTAGATGTAATAAGTGCCATTAATATAATTCATTGTAATTTAAAACATGTCTGCATGAAAATCAGCTTATGTTGTATGTATTCACGTGTATAAGAATGAATAGAATAAATTCAACAATATTACAAAAATTTTAGAAAATGTTTATATATTTTAGGTATTACACAAGGCAATAAATCTAAATAAATAATAATGTAGTTGTGCATGTTTGAATTATGTTTTATAAAATTATTTATATTTTAATGAATAATTGTACAATAACTTATTGTTTAATTAATACAACAATTATTTATTATTAATCAAATATTGTTAAAATATGTCTAAATATTATATAAAAGTTTTGCTACAATTTAATAACAATTATTTACTTTAAATGCAATGGCACAGTCTGATTTAGCCAGATGTTTTAAAATCTTAAAAAATAAACTATAAGTATATACAAACATAACTGAAATAAAACGATAACAAAATTATAAATTGAACTACATACTGTTTGACTAGCAATTGAGTGATATGAATTTTTATATATTATTACCATATTTATCTTATTTGCATAACACTTTATATATTTTATTGTGTTAGCGGTAAATTAATCAAAATTATGCCATTTAATCATTGTTATGACTCATAAATGAAATGCACATATTTAGAATGTAACTTTTCTATTTCTAGATCAAATTGAGGCGTTGAAAGTTTCACAAATTCATCAAGATAAATTTTTAATTATTATGATAATATAAAATTTATTAATAATTTCCACGAAACATTTATACTGCTTTTTAATAAATAAACATGCCAAAAATTGTATTGACCAATTTTGACAATGACAAATTACCAGTTTATATGGATAGATTGGTTAAAAACTTTACCATAATTAGTAAACTCGGTACAGGATCGTTTGGCGACGTATCCCGTGCGAGACACAAATTAATCAACCGAGATTATGCGATTAAGATGGTCAAAGTGAAAAAACCTGATGATATTGACAAATATATGCGCGAGCTAAATGTATGGTCAATCTTACAATCGCACAATCTTGTTCAATATATAAGCCACTGGCTTGAACGCACTGGCCCTGAGTTATTATTAACCATGTATATTTTAATGGAGTTATGCATTGATAATTTACGTAATCTAATCACGATGAAAACCAAAAAATACCCGCGTAAACAATTTTTCAACATAAACAAATGGGATTATTTAATATCGTACTATTTGTTTCTGGAAACGGCCGAGTGCGTTCACTATTTGCACACTCACCAACCACCGATCATTCACCGGGATCTCAAACCGAGCAATATACTATTTACATTTACTCATGGTAAATTGTGTTTGAAAATTGGCGATTTTGGTCTGGCAACTTTACATAATGATGACATACATTCCCATACGCTTAGTGTTGGTACCACTAAATATATAGCGCCCGAAGTTTATCGCCTGTCCCGCTATACCACTGCTGTAGACATCTATAGTCTGGGTGTCATTTGCGAAGAGATATTCAATTTTGATTCATTAGGGTAAGTAATACTAATGTAAATATTAAAATGTTAAAAATGCCAATGTGGCAAAAATAACGTGCAGACAAACATTACACTGTAAGAGCTAGACTGTGATTTATTCACCGAATGTATTGGATATGTGTTGTGTTTCTCCGAATTTTTGAGTTATGTAAATCCGAACGCATATTTGCTGAATTATAATGAATTACAATATGTTATTGTATGAGAAATGGAATTTATGTGAATGCGATCACTGATTAATTTTCACCACTTATTCATCGAAACATTACTCAATTTGACATAATTTAATTTTTAAATATATAGAAAATTTTAAAAAATATAAACAAAAAACAGAAATCACAATTAAAAATAATTATAATTAAATAAATTACTGTTTAAACAACAGTGATTTATTTTGCCAAAAATTTAATTGAGCTTCCCCGAATTTTAATTGAAAAAGTTCTCCAAAAGTTATGTGAATGTGTTCTAAAAGTACGTTGGTTTTTTCTGAATTATTGTTTTTGTATTCTCCATTAAAAGTGCAATCTAAGGCACTCTTTAAATTTCCGATTAATGTGATCGCTTGCACCTAATTCCTTAATTTATGCTAACAGTGTACACTTAAACCAAAACACATTTATAGCTTAATAGTTATTAAATAATAAACACATATTTAATATCTCTAATTTGAACATGTTAAATAATACCCAAATATAATTATAATTATTTTTTGTATTAAAGTGACGAACTGATGGAGGATAAGAGTTTTAAATTGAAACATTTTATCTTGCAACTTACAACAACAATGCCATCTGATAGGCCCAATATCAAGGAAACTTTGGATATGTTTCATGAGTTGGCCATTAATGGTAGCTTTGCATTAAATGAACTTGAACATAATATTGACAATAAGGCGGACTATAGAAATCAATTAAGCAAATGCATCATGTCAAAAATAATGCAATGGTATTCAATTGATACTTTAACATATCAGGATAAAAGTGACGTAAAATGTTTTTATAATGAGCATCGGTTAAAAGATTATATAAGAGAAAATGTCAAAATTAACCAGGTGATAAACGAGTTTGAATCAATGGAATTAATAAATCAAACTAGCCCACAATTTGGAACATGGTTATATACAGCCAAGCATAAATTAGTAGACAGATGTTATGCTATTAAGAAAATAGCGTGTTTTGGTAAATAAAATGTTACAATAAATATTAACAAAATATGTTAATCGTATTAATTTAGATCCAGATCAAGTGAAACATACACTAAAAGGCATACAATTATGGGCACAATTAGACCCCGATCACTGTGTACAGTACCGTTACCATTGGTTTGAAAATGGTGAAAAATTAAAGAATGAAAAAAATAAGCAAGTTAAACTGATATGCGTGCAAATGGATTTGTGTTGGTTCTCATTACGAGTTGTCACGGATAAACTGCAAACATATTTCAAACTTGCTAAATATGAGCTATTACCCCCGGTGGGATATTACATGGCATCGGAATTATTGACCGAAATACTATTGGCGGTGGAATATTTACATACATTAAATATAGTTCATCGATTTCTTACACTAGATAACATACTTGTTAAACATGAATTATGTAGCGGCAAAATTATCAAGCTAGGTGATTTTGGGCTTGACAACACTAAACTTGAACCCGTTGACTCCCAATCGGTGGTGCAGTCTATATCTGGTGATTGGGACCGATTTATGGCCCCCGAAGTAAAACAGGGCAGTACTTGGGATACCAAAGCCGATGTGTATAGCGTTGGTGTAATCGTTCAGCAATTATTCAATTTTGATGTTAATAAAATTGAGTATGACTTATTTATTCTAGCTTATTATAGAATGCATTTATTTAAGCAATTGAATAATTTATAAAATTGTTCAGCACTCTTTTACCAAGATTATGTTTTTAAGTCCGTATGGATATACATTGGATAAATGTGTAGATTGGCTGTGACTATTAAAATTACTTAATTGTCAATTATTAATCTAGTTTTATATTCCTTACAGGAAATCAAATAGTGATTACAAAAATAACTACAAATACATTAATAAAACTGTGACCAATTGTACAAATGGACTATCTGCCAATCGACCATCTTGTTCTGATATACTTGACAAGAAAAGCAATTGGGCACTGGGATACAATAAAGTTAACACTGACATTACAATGCTCATCGGTGGAAACGTTAATTATAACCATGATAATGAATTTGTTGAATATTTTTTAGCCATAAAACGCAATGCTAACGATTTCGAAGAGAAATCCGTTAACAATGCTATAATTAAAATGGAGAGTGAGTTAGACTTTTCAGTTTTTCAAAATGGTAAATTCAAACGAGTCTTTAGACTCGACAATATCGTGACCATACCGGGTAGATATGGTAACATTTTAAACACAATTGCCAATCGAGATACTATACGTTATGCTGTCAAGAAAGTTAAATTAGATGGTAAAAATCAAATTCATTGTTTTTAAATCAGGTACATTTATGTTAAATAGATATATTAATGTGTCAAATATATTATCTAGGTGAGCACGAACTAAAGCTAACAATTAAATCAATAGAATTATGGTCAAAATTGGACAATGAATACTTTGTAAAATATTATGATCATTGGGTAGAATTTGAAAACGAGCTTAATGATCGCTTACCATATTTGTACATTCAAATGGACTTATGCTGGCTCTCGTTAAGTACACTTATTAAACAAATGCTTACCTACTTCAATTCCGAGCCCAAACATTTATATAATCCATTGGGCTATTATATGGCATCTGAGTTAATGGTAGAAATTGTGACCGCGGTGAAAATATTACACACTGGCAAACCGCCAATAATACACCGTGATATAAACTTGAACAATGTTTTAATATTCCCTCATACTAAACATCCTGGTAAGTATGTAAAATTGTCGGATTTTGGCCTGGCCGTTTACAATGATCCCCAGGCCATGTCACATACACAGAATAAAGGCACTGAACGTTATATGGCACCTGAGGTGAGGGGTGGGCGCAGGTATAATACATTGGCTGATATTTACAGTTTGGGAATGGTTGGCCAAGATTTGTTCAATTTTGATAATAACACAATCGGGTAATTATTCTTATTGTTATTTAAGTTTTATTTTAAATTCCTAACACAATTTTGCACTCAATATTTACTTATGTTAAATTTATAGTAGCATGCCTGTTAAAAAAATAATGTAGCAATTTTCAAATAATGAATTAACTAGATAAATTTTAATTAATAAGTTTTACATATACTTTAAAATAACATAATAATTTATCTAAATTTTTAACCACTTTGTACTAAAGATTAAAAATTACTTATAAATTATACGGTATAATACAATTATTCGTGTTTTTAAAGGAGACTAAATCCGGATGACATGTATAAAACAATTGAACACGTGATCGGCAATTGCTTGAAGGGTACGGCCAATGAGAGACCCACTTGTGAACAGATACTGGCCATTAGCGATCAATGGGCTACCAGTTTCACCGATGTTAGACACTTAATCACCGGGGTCACCGAGTGCACATATAATGACTGTGATAATTTTATTCAGTACTTTCTAAGTGAAAAATGCAAATTATAGTTTGTTAAATGAGGAATTCAATTTTTTAAACCAAAAAATGAAAACCTGTAATATTAATACAAAAATACGTAATACTAAATACATATCAATTATAATTTGATTTACAAATATAACTAATGTTATATTATATATTTTTTTGAAATATTAATTTTTAAAAAGATTTATGTTTAATTAGTAAATCATTGCATTTAAAATATATGCAGTTAATAATACTGCACAGAGTCAGTCTTTTAACATATCAAGTATATGGGAAGTTTACCGATAGTTTATCTTAATAATATGATATTTAAATATTTTAATTAATTTAATTATAATATTTCGTAAATGTCTATGGAACTTTATGTAAAAACAAATAATATTATATCTGATTTAAAATTTTAAATATAAGTAATGTTTACAATAAAATATATAAAAAGTGAATTATTGAAAGAATTTTGTAAATTATATTATCTATTCAAATTATAAAATTTGATTATAAGTATGTTTATTGTGGATTATAAAAGGATTAGAAAAAATTAATTAACTACCTTATTACTTTAATTTAATTAACGGTAATACCTTTAAATTATAATTTTTTTAACATATTTATAAAATTATAAATGTGTAGTTAAATAACTATTATGCTTTTATAGTTACATATATTTATAGATTGTACTAACTTTGCTATTTTTTAAATTTATATTTTACCTTATTACCATTTAATTGCTAATACATTAATATATTGGGCTAAATGATAATGTATTATATTAGCCTAGTTGCCGTGTAGCTAGAATCTTGGAATTGGTCTCATTATTTAGGCTTACATTCATAGGCACCAGAATCCGAGTTTCATCAAATTCGTATACTTATTGTTGACACAGGAATTTTTTGAATGAAGTAGGTAAGCATTTGTTTAATAAGTGTACTTAACGAGAGCCAGCATAAGTCCATTTGAATGTACAAATATGGTAAGCGATCATTAAGCTCGTTTTCAAAT